ATTTTTTTTTTTTTTTTTTTTAATTTCTGATTACAGCTCAGAATCGTCTAACAAATGGGCAAACGCTCCTAAACCTGGGAGGCTTGCAAAAGCAGTTAAAACTTTTAATAAACATAATAAATAAATAAATATGGGTAAAAATAATAAGAGAATAATAATAACGTACCTATGTACAAACGAATAAATTGTAAATATTTGTTTAGCTCCGCGACGATGCGCTAAAAATACGAAGGCCGGAGTAATCGTCAGTCTCGTACTATTGTAGGTAGTAGGTACATCAATAACTTTACTATTGATGTACCGTGTACTTACCTGTTTACTTCGCATATAGTGTGATTTCTAGTCCGTCGCAACCCATATTTCTACAGATCAATGATTTTAAGTTGGCAGTCTTCACCAACTTAAAACCGTCTTCTCCACCGAACGTATGGGGTACCCACGAGTCTACCGACGTGAGGTTGTTGGTCAATATAGCATTTATAATGTAGCTATTCGTCAATACTTCGGCCGTGGATAGAACTTGGGAGGAACTGGTTCTTTCGGCCAGAACGCCGGTCAAGAACTCTACTTTTTCGATCGTTTGGTAGAGTTCCAATAGGGGAGTGGCGGTGTCCGAGTTCCTCGTCATTTCGACGATGCTTTTATAACCTTTCAGCCCCAATCGCCTTCTGTAGCTATTGAATCCCTGCAAGCAGTGTTCCCTAGACAGCGTCATCAGTGCCTTTGTCATTGATTCGGTTAGGGCTCCATCGTTGTGCGCCGTGACCCCACCCATTTTGGAATTCACCATAAATTCCATTGCGTTTTGTAATCCACCATTCAAAACTTGTCTACAAATATAGACAACCGTACCGTGTTATACGCGTGTGATGACTTATAACATATGTTTATCTCATCAAATAAGTCGCTTTTTTTCTGAAACTAGATTGGAATCTGTTCTAGTCCCTTTTCCCTAGCGTCCCTTTATAGTTCGGTGTTATACTAGTTGATGAGTTCGTAATATCATAGTTTAAAACGTATTGTATCATAACGTGTTCTTTAAAAACATATTATATTTTGCATTAGTTCAACGACGCTTTATGTTTTTCATTTATGGATGTGGCTATATTGTGCAGGTACGGTACCTACCCCCGAATAAAAAGCTACCCTATGTAAGACTGCATAGGACCCCAAGTTCGACGGCCAAAGCCAGCTGATGTGGGTGGCGTCTATATACTTGTCGTACTTAAACTAAATACTTAAGGGTGACGATGGTACCGGGTTTTTCAGTATTTCGCAATTATATTAATACAATTTGAAATTACATAGACCAGCAAACTGTTCTCTTTTAAATGAAAAAAATAACCAACGAAATCCGACTGTTTTACATGTCGTGAGAGTTTTTCCTCAAAGACATATTTTAGTTTACTAAAACCGCACCAACCCGAGGCCCTTAACTTAAATCATTCATCCTTGTTGGAACTGTGCATGTGAAATAGCTTATAATAACCTATGATATCCGTAAGGGTCAAAATGTGTAGTTAATGTTTTTTTAAATTTTATCGTTAAGTTTTGGACTGACCTTGTGTTGCTAAAGTTTATCAAACTTGTTGAATTATACATCAACTTTTCTGGCAGACTTGATACTGCCATCGTCAGATACAACTCAAAAGGCGTGCCAACACCACGGATGTTTTCCACTCGATGGTGGTAAACTTCCGGTCTGAGTTTCACATTTAGTATTTCGTTCATCATTATGGTCATCATTTGACCGGTCACAATATTTCTGGCCGTTGTGTAAATCTCTTCGTCTGTCCACGATGGTGACTTCTGTGACAGCTCGTCGCACACTAGGTTGTGCTCACGCACCCAAATAGTAGAGATCACGAACAGCATTGGGCTCGCGCCCAACATATCTGTCCGCTTGAAAATCCGGGCGATCGTTCTGCTGAGCTATTTTTCACAAATCGTTCATCAATAATTGAAAACGCATTACAAAATAACATTTTTGAAGAAAATGTATTTTCATCTTTATTGTTTTTTAATTATTATTTAGTTTTATGAACAACAGCATACAAAAAATATTTTTTTCCGATCACTTCGATGTAATAAAATCAAATTTCAGATGTAGGTACAGTTAATTTGTTTACGTATAAATAGTTAAATTAGCGAATTAGCAGTGTTATAGTAAAACAAACATTTTTCTGTGTGCCTGCGCTTGTATTGTAACTCCGTCTATCCAAACATTAGAAACATTAGTAGGTGATGTAAACTTTTATCAAAACATTTTATACAGTAATGAATTGAAATTATTTAAAAAACAAAAATATTTTCAAAAGCGTTTTAATATAGTATTATAATTTATAATGAACGCTTAAATGAATGATCGACCCGCATAATAATATAATAATAATTGCAACTATTCTATACACAGGTACCTACTACCAACTAACAAAAATTCGATTTAAATCTGAATAAATATTTTTAAAAAACCGGTACTCACCCACGAACCATCGTTCGAAATGCTTTTTTCCCAAGCCTTTGAGAATACGCTTGAGCGCAGTTCGAACACCTGATTTGGTGCATAAAGGTCGGAATTAAATTCCAGTGTCTTGAGCTTACCGCCGGAGAACGATCTCATCGATTTCTCCGACGCAGCATCACTGCCGTACAATTGCGAAGCCGTTACCTATATATGTTTGGACAATATAATTATTATTCAACAAATTTAATTTAATTTAATTTTAATTATTATTATTCAGTGGTAGATACGGTATATTATATCGTTTTAAACGCGCGCGCAGCGTACAATAATAATATTATTGTTGTAATTTCTATTACACAAACCATCAAATTGGAATCCACGTCGAAAAATTGCAAAACGAAATATTGGTAGAAAGCGTTGAAAAGTAAATTTCTGTTTTTACGATCCGGTACGAACTGACCGGGTTCCCGTTTGAAAATGTCGTTGTACAACGTTTTCAGCTGGGGCAAACTCTCTGCAAAAAAAATTATGAGGTTTTAAATTTCCTTTTAACCTATTGAGGTGAGTGTTAATAACTGGTCGTTCGAATACGACCATATAGAATTTGTCGGCGACAGACAATACGCAGTTTTTACCTAGCGCGTCCACGCGAATATTATAGATATATTCAATATTATTAAAATAATGCGTGGTGGGATATAAATATTTACCGTCATTCTTGCAACATTTCAGTGGACGTGCAGGAGGCAATATTCTCCCCGCGTATCCATCGTCGTAATCGGCATCAACGCTCACATACTCTAATCTTTTCACTGCGCTTTGATGGACTAAACAAAAAAAAAAATATATATATATATCGCGTGCTATTATTGTAACCTGTAACTACTAAGATTATTTAACATGTATTTCCTGTATATATGTACTTAATACTGAAATAATTTATAAAATATATTTTAGCTTATTAACTTATAGATCTTCAATCTTGTTTAATTTACATTATCTATGCATTAAAGTTAAAAAAATATGTTAATTTACATTATGAGTTTGTCAGAATAAAATGGACATATTTTCGAAATTAATGATTGCAGTAAACTCTAGTTTCGGAAAAGAACCAATATGAACACCATAGATATACAAACATAGAACGATTTTCCTAATTATAATATGTTTAAAAATTATATCGAGTACCACTATTAAAGTTCGTCTTTAATTCAGATTGTTAAAATATAATATATCATAGCATATTGTAATTATCCTATTAGGTACCTAATTATTATAATTTCAAGGGCCCCCACATAATATATAATCTATATTTAGATACAGTATTATTTTAATGTCGTTTTTGTTAATATCTATTCATGATATTATCAATATGAATTTATAATAATTAATAATAAGTTTATATTAGATTATATTATGCAGTGAAACCTCTGAAAATTTGTCACATACATTTTGTCTTCTCCTAGAAAGTATGTAGTTTGTTTCAAAAAACTGCTATTTGGGGGATGTCTGTTAGAGAAGGTTTCACTGTTTTAAATTAAAATTGACTTAACTTATCTGTAATTGCTTTAAATACTTACAAGCATAAACGGTTTCCAGCTGGAGTGCCGAAGTGAATGGAAAAATGCTCCACCACATCGTTGGCTTCCCTCTACTTACGTCAGTGTTAGGATGAAACACTGATACTATCCATGACATGAATGACACTGGTTCATCTGAGATTTTGAAAAAATTATGTAAGTGTTCATTATTCAATAATGTTATTAGTAAAATGATCTATTTATATTTCCCAAATTTTTCTTACTAAGTTAAATTAGTATACAAGCCAAAATCATTTTTATTGTTACGCCACTTAAATCCTTAATAGAGTTCTAGGCTAGAAAACGTACTCTACATTTTGGCAGATTTCTTTAAAAAATGATTGGGCTTTTCATAATTTATTTTAAGTTGAATCATTAAAATAATAATTTTAAAATATATTTTTTTTTGTAGATATCGATATTAGCTTTCGATTCCATATAGCAAGTAAACTTATCAAAACAACGTTTCGACATAACATCCCTAACTCAACGTATAAATATAATATAATATAATAAACATCGCGCTGAACGCACCTGTCGTCATCATTTTCTCCGTGCTGGCCGCCTCAGACAACGTGCAGTAGTCTAGATGTTGTTCATAGAGAATTCTGGCTCTACCTATAAAGTAGTACCGTAATACGTTATAATAATAACAATATGATTCGCGCGTGGGTCTCGAAAATTCGATGAAATGGGTTGCTTAATTTAATTTTTCTAAGATTTTGTTTATATTATAAGTTTAGGATATAAAACTCCTAATAAAAATAAAAAAAAGGTGATTTTGTTTTTTTTTTGTATTTTGTTCTTATATACTTGCATACTTTTAAAAGTGTTTTGATTAATTTTATATATTCAATATTTATGTATAAAAAAATTTTATTTATGTCATAAAAATAAGGTGATATTGTTTTATTTGTAAGACTGAAAATATTAAAATTTGATGTTATTTAATTTGTACCTATCTTGTTCTAAGATTAAAAGTTATTTGATTGATTTTATATATTGTATATTTACATTTTACATATTAACAAAAGATTTATTCAAATTATTAAAAGAAGACAGTATTATTATATGCGTATTTTTTATAAGTAAAGAGGTATAAAAATTTTATTATTTTATGTTATATAAAAATGTATTTCAACTGTACAAGAATTGTGTCCTTATGCTTGGCATTGTATCTTCTCAGATACAACTCTAACATTGCATGGATTTGGTAATGTATCCCTAAAGATACAACTTGTAAGTCAAAAACTATAAGTTATACAAAAAAATTGACAACATTTTTGGATTCAGCAGCCTCGAATTAGTCAGAAACATCATACATTATAATATTTAGGCCTCTTTTTCTACGTTTGCCAATTTAAGGGTTAAGCTTAACAGACAGTTCGTTTGTTAGTAATTATATAATTGAATTTTCTCGGGACATTTTGAGGTGTATAATAATTAATACCCAGTCCACTTGTATCCAGAACTCCTAGACAGCGGGGAATGGGTAAAATCAAGAACAAAAATCGGTCTATAACAGATAGTATTTAATCAATTAATGTGCTTTAAAAAGAGCCAGGAGACGTCCGTAAGAATATCGAGTACTATTAATAAGGTCTTTCGAGTGGTTGAAAAAACTCACTTATGCGAGTTATGCGGTTGTCCTCCATGTTCAGAGCAATCGCCACCAGTATCCCAAGAAACAGGATGTAAGTACAAAACCTTGATTTGACTGAAAACAAAGAAAAGTATTAACTGCTGCATAATATTACGACGGAGACAACACGGCGCTGGCGAAGCGCATCCACCATCTCAGTCGAGCGGCATTTCAAACACCCCCCCATCATTAAACCAGATCTTTAAGAGTATGTCAGCGCACTATTAGTTTTATCTCTTTGATTCAACACATCAAATTTGCGTTTAGCAGAACCAAAAAAATTTTGTTACTTTTAATATCCTCGAGCATAATTAAGTCAAGAATAATACCTCTGCCCCTATGACATTGGCTATTTTATGGTATTTTGATTTTTATCAAATTTACGAACGTGCATAAATTATTACGATTTTAAAACATGATTATAACATTATATGACTGCCGGTGAGAGTCGAGACTTAGTAAAGTCATCCAGGGCTGTTTGTAGGGGGAGGGAGAGGAGGAACAAGGCGCTGGGCCACGCGCTTTCTGATCGGACTTCGAGTTGACACATGACGGATAAAATACTTTTTGGGTGTGAATGGGTGGTCCACGGGCGTAGCTAAATATACCTATTATGATCGCGAGCAGATATTATTATTTGCAGGCAGACTTCTTGTTCACTCGTTCAGCTCGTGACGATATTATTATCACATTCGCGCCCCTGTATCGCCAAATATTGCTAGAAAATATTATATTAGAATGTTCAATAGGTACTTACTGAAAGACCGTAATAAACGGTTAAAATGTTTGATGGAGACATCAACCATGATGGGTTTTTATGTTTTGATTGTTTTTAACAATTAATCAACTGATTAAAAAGTTAAAGAAAATTAATCAACTGATTAAAAAGTTAAAGAAAATTAGAACTGATTCTAATAAGATAGATTAATACAAATATATGAATACAATAATACGATAAGTTAAAGCAAATATATAACGTCCGCACACTAAGCTGACTGAATTATGAATGAATCTCAATTCTTCGTGGAACTAACTATAACTTTTATAAACATCCGTCGTCAAGTAACAAAATATAATAATACATAAATATATTATGCATTACAAATGCTGGCTGAAATGGCCAGCAAATATTTTTTGAGATCCAAATTAATTTTTTTCGAGTACTTACAACATTTATTTTTAAGTTGCGTGCTGAAAATTATAACAAATGTATGATATTTAGTCATTTTTATTTTAACATAATATCAATTTATTAAAAGAAAATGAAGACTTACAACATGGTCGCATATTCATCATAATATAATCGATGTATTTATCTAATAACATTATTAATTATATAAACTAATTGTCAAAAAAATTCTAAATAACACAAAAAAACGAGCGTGTTCATCAGTTACTGTCAAATTGCAATTATGAGTAAGGAGTGGTAAGGATATCTCGGAAAATATTGATGAGCTCGGTGTATTGGTGTGTTATATTGTATGTGTAGGTACATAATATAATGCATATAATATGGCTTTAAAACAATATTGAAATAAAAATGGTAACAAAGGTTGCATGGTATAAATTAAATCCAAATAAATAGAAATGATAGCCAGTTAATGGAGATATTCTACTACAACAGCATAAACAATAATACTCATATCATATAAATTAATAGTACCTAATAATTAAGAAAAACGACTATTTGAGCTCTCATACAGACCATCTTTCAACCCTTTGAAATTTGCCTCCGAGTTGTGACCTACTTACGGCTCCAAGTTGGTGGACTTGACTAAGCCAAACAAATTGTCTCCGATGAACGTCTATCAAGTTTTTACAAGAGTTTGTTTGTGAGGTTATTGGTAAAGATTGAATTTACTATAAAACTATTCGTCATGACTGTGACCGTGAGTAGGGCTCTTCTACTCTTTGTTTCTGAAACTACGCCAATAAACAACTCTACATTGCCTCATACAGATTTGAAAATTTCTTGGCAAATTTCTAATCAATGGTCAGTTGGTCTTCAAATTGAATATGTAATTATTTTACAGATTTAAAGCACTAAGCATTAATTAGTTGAAATCATTATTTTAGAAATTTTTAATTAAAATAAAACCTGGCAAGTCGATCTTCTGTATACATAGATGTTGAGCGTACCTCATACTTGAGTAGGTCACTGATAGATTCAATTTGAATTCAAGGATTAATAATTGAATAACAACAATCAATCGGAACGGAGACTGTCATACAATCATATCTTATTTCATTAAATTGAACTTCAAATTTCAATTGTCCATAAAGAAACGTATTTTTTTTTCTCTTCTATCAATTGTTTAAACGTTTAAACTTAAAAAAAATGTATGTAGTGTAATGTGTACTTTTTTATATTCCAGTAAAATAACATTATGATATTTTATATACGTCTTTTATAGAGCATAAAACATTTAAAAACATATATCGAAATGTATCAAATTTACCTACTTTTATAAATAGCTGTAAAAAGGAAAAAAAATTGAAAATTTTTTGTGCCCAATGATTTGCTCACACGTCATTATAGCAATGTTGTGTAAAACGTAACAAATAAATAAATAATGGCAAGAATGTCGCACGTAGAAATCGGAAATCTCCAGACCACGACAAAATCATTGTAACAGACAAAAAGGGTCTACTATATTGTACGATCACGGATTAAGATATCGGCAAGTTCCTAGTTGCAAAGATAAAGCGTATGGCTTGTGGTTTAGCGGCCGGGAAAAAGGTATGGTAAAAAAAGGCCCTTGCTGCCGAAGAGAAATCTACTCTTTTAAGAAATCAACCTTTTGATGAAGTCGCCTACAATTCTCTGGTGATCATAACCCTTTAGACGATGCATGCGCACCCCCCTTCAACACAGTAAAAACCTCTCTATACCGAATCCTACGAGCTACAACTGGACTCTTTATGACGAGAGCAATAACAAGTGCAGTGTTTTATTATTTCGGTTCCAGTATTTTCAGTGATTAATTTTTGTCACCTAAGACGTCTACAGCATAACCCAGAGACAGCTGGAAAGTCAGGCAAGACAATTAATAAAAAATATATATTATTATTGACTGCACTATTTTGCATAATATGCACATTGCACATACCAAATAGTGCACTAATACTGTACTGTGTATTAATCAAATTCTCTAAAACAAGACCTCGAGAGCCCTTCGAACATTCTAAACATCTAAACCAACAACCAACATTAATAATAACACGACGTTAGAACCTTTTCATACTCAGCTCACGAATTATGTATACCTACTTCTTTCAATAACTTAAAAATATATTTTTTTACTTGCCTTTTAAATTTGTTAATAATGATATCAATTTGATTTTTTTTAAAAACGTACGCAATATTCGTTTTTAATATAAATAATTGTGATTATATTTTTCAAAAATATATTGATAATTATTTGTTTATCATTATATAAATTATAATTGTTTTCATTAAAATACATATGTATTTACTATTTATTTTAATTAACATCTTCAGTGACCTACCCAACCATCCATAATTTTAGTCTTAACAATTGGTTATAAAAATCGACTTCACCACTCTATGCAGAAATACTGTACTAACTTCAATCTTGTAAAGATGTAAGCAGCAGTTTTAGATATATATAGAAGTATCAAAATATTCACCAAAGAAAAAATATTGTAATAGCAATTAAAATATGGTCTTAAAAAGTTTTCTTCAATTTTAAATACATTTAAATCAAACTTTACAAAAAATTACGAACATTATCAAACATTCTATGTTCTTCTACTTCTTGTGGGTTAGAAAGCCGCGTATTTGGCATGCCTGATCTGCAGTGCAGACAGTAATGTCCTGTAATTTCTACACGTATCACGTTTGTACTATTAAATTGCATATCCTGAGCCCCGTGTTACTCTTTAATATTGTACAACGTAAAATCGTAGATTTTATAATACTGTACTTTTGTAACATCGAAACAGGATTTTTTACTGAAAAAGACCTTGCTGTCGAGTACATTACATTAATAGCAACAATATTAAAACATGACGTTCACAATAACAATAATATAATCTATTTAACTCCGATGCACTTTAATACGAACGATTACAGTTTCAATATGATTTTTTCCAGATACGCTTGTATTAAAATATGTTTTGAAAGACATATTTTAAATGAATGACAAACATTACTTGTATAGATATACAGAATACTTATTTTATAATTAATACATTTGAACACAATTTTTGATTTCTATGATAAAGATACCAATAGGTAATATACAATATTAAATAATTTTCGACTGAGATCTTATGAGTCCGACAAAGTTGAGTTAAGTTAGGTTCTTGGTAATTTTTATTCCCGAAAAAAAGATAACAATACAAAATTCAACTAAAAAGATAAATATTTATGGCCCAATTCATCGAAAATAGTTTTTTTTCTCATATTTTATTGACTACTGTGTAATTTGGAATCTACGTATTGCTTGCAGGAGTATACCTATATACAGTAATTTACGTACTATAATCAATCCATGAAAGTATTTTATTTAAGATTTATAACCAATAGTTTTCAAATTGTAGCTTCATAAATACAACTTTTAAAGTTTCAAAGTTTCTAATTTTAACGAAAACATTGTAGTGTATAAAATATGCATATTATACAGAATTACAGCGCACACCTACACATAGTTAGTGGAGTTTCACAGTACTTTTATGATAGCTTATAGCAACATTAAGACTAACAGCAATTAAAAATTTGAAACATGTTTTGTGCATGTGGTATGTCAGACTTCAACTGCCAAAAGTTGTATTCTACATCATAAAGTTGTACCTAAAAGTTCTTAACACAACAACTCTAAAGTCGTAAAATAAGATTACGGCATTTATGGAATTATTATGATTATGACAATAATAATAATAATACTGGTAAGCAACTATATTGACGTTTAATGTGATTACTGTTTAGTGGATACCTAGTTAAATTTTTGATATAGCTTGGTTGAAAATTCATTTATTACCGAATTATTG